CCAGCAAAAAATGCAAGCACATAGTAGGAGTCCTCTTTTTCTTTTTTTAGCTTAATTAAGAAAAGGAGAGAAATTTAAGGAATTTCATACCACTGATTGGCCAGCGAATTTGGACTGCAGCTTTCCTGGAGAAATAATTCTAAAATATTAAAATCCAAAAATACACACACAAAAAAATTGAGATTTCTGTGGAAAAATTTACGAACCCGAAGGAATTGAAAGGCTGTTGAAACCGGCTAGAGGCGACACTGCCATTTTCAGGTGAAAAGTCTGAATTATCCTATCACACTGATGATGGGTTTATTTTAGGGTAGCATTTTCTTAGTTTAAAATGATATTTTAATGAAAAAAAAAACTGTTTCAGAATGCTTTTGGATGAATTCCTGTCAATTTTGCATATTCTTTCTTTTGTGTTTTGTTTTTTTAACTGGGTAAAAAATATTCTTCCATAATCATATTTTTTAATGCTGAGGTGCTTTGTTCTGTCTTTCTCTTTTATTTAAGAAAATAAATATATATTTCCCAACCATTGTTTCATCGCACTATCTCACTCTGTCTATTTCTTCCATGTTTTTTCTTTTTTTATACTTAAGTTTTACGTTATAAGTAAGTAAGAATTAACCAAGTGGAGTATATTTCAAGGAACCTAATAAACAAGGGAATAAGAAATTAAAGCAACTTGGTCTTTTCATCAACAAGTTAATTGGTTTTCGTTCAAATTCATTTTAGAATATTTAGTGAAAGTTGAATAATTATTTTATCAAAGATAATAATTTGATAATTTTTCTGCAATTAAACTATAAATTATATGATTTTATGCGTGATTAACCTCCTCAAGTTTATAAGGATTCAAACTATACTTAAAAAATATAAAGAAATTTATATTATTGTTTATGCTATTTAATAATTATGGCAAATATAAGTGAGTTTCATGTAAGATAAAGTCAAATATTATAAGGTTGTTATTTCATATGTTAGTTATGCGAGACTAATAATGAAGGTATTGTTAGTGATTAATAGTAAGATATTGTTATACATGAACAAGTTACTCCAAAAATAATAATTTACTTGAAAACAATATTATTCTTCTTTAAATTATTTTACTCCTCCAATACTAATATATACTATTGTCAAAATATATAGGCTGGCCCTAAATGTGGCATAATATTTCATTTGGACATCTCTATGTGATATTTCACCTAAAATAATGAAGTATATTAACTCTTACATGATATATTATTGATATTATTTTATACAAAATTAATTAAATATTATATTATTATAAGTTCATTATTTCTCTTCTCATGAGGTCAATAAAGAATTTTATTGTCTTATGCAAAATTTTCTATTCCGATTAATTGTTCATATACCATCCACCGATTTACCCTATGCTTATAAAAGGTTGGGACTTGACAAGGCTGATGTGGCATCCTCATAGATCAAGAATCATAATTTATTTATTTTTTTGCCTTTTTACTCAATATTTCGTCATTGTATGTCCTTAAGAAAATCCAAAGGTCACTGTTTGATCAAAAAGTATGAAACCGTTTGTTAAAACTAATTAAATACAAAGGTGATGGGCAAATCCTAATTAAATATAATAAGTTTTAGATCTAACGCATGGTTGTATAAATAGTACAGAATAACGTTTGAGCCAATTTAATATAAATGGTATTAAATGATGTTGTCAAGAATGAATGGAGGAACAATGATGATCAATAAATATATTAAATGGCAATAAGTGTAAATAGAGAGAATGATTCACCCAAATGTTGAATGAGGTGGATGATTCTCTTCTCTAACAACGATGTGAGACAAATGGATATTGAAATATATGAGGTTTTCTCGGATCTGATGCGAGAAAAAAGTGGAATAAACAACAAATTGAATCCTTGTGAAAGGTAATATTTTGTATTATCTCTCTCAAAAGTCAACTTTTTATTAGGGTGCTTATCAAAATGAACATTACATGCCTTTTCCTTCTTTCTTCTACTATTTATGTGGGATATTCCCAAAAACCCTAAAAAAGTACAACAGAAGGAATATTCAATAGAATATTCTTATTGAAAGTTCCAAAGCTATACTAGCCGTTACTTCTTTTCCTACTGCTCGACCTCAGCCCTAATGGCTTACTCGACGGCTCAGTATTGTCAACCCCTGGTTGACCTCGACCTAGTCATTACTTCTTTTCCTACTACTCGACCTTGGCCCTAATGGCTTACTCGACGGATCATTATTGTTAACCCCTGGTTGACTGATGTACCGGAGAATTTCGGCACATTTCAATACTAATTGCTTAGATTTTAGCTTGTTTTAATGTAATTATTTCCGTTACTTATATAGTTTTGTTGTTTCTACAGTACATAAGGACTGAGAACCCAAGAACATGAAAATGGAAGCAAAAAGACAAGAAAAGAGCAAAATGTAGCAAAAATGCTGGTCTGCGATACACTATGCGATCGCAGATCAGACATGCGAGCCGCAGAATGCACGTCAAATCGCAGACAAAAGTAGAGAACTGGGTTAAATCTCAAGTCAAGAATGCGGTCCATTATGCGACCGCAGAACCAACATGCGAGCCGCAGAGTGAACCGCAAACCAACCATAAAGGTCACTGAAGGACGAAGATGCAATGCAAAATGCGATCGCATTTCTGCAATGCGATCCGCATAATTGGAATGCGAAGAATGTAAACTAGGGTTCCAGTCTGCGATGAGGATGTTCAAGATGCGGACCGCATATGTGCTCTGCGACAAGAATGCGATCGCATATCAGACCTGAAAGGGCATTTTTGTCCGTTTTCTGTCCCGATTTTGAGTCCACTATAAATAGTTTTATGATGTCTTTGTGGGCTCATCTTGTCTAGTCTTTGAACCATATTCCAAGACATTAATATTACTCACTTTTGGAAGTTTTTCGGTGAAGATTCTCTACTTGGTAAGCTTTTATGACATTAAATACTCTTTGGTTTTTGTATTGTAGTATGAGTAGCTAACTTTAAATACTAAGGTTGTGGACCCTAAATGGGTATTATGCTAATGGGTGTTTAACATTAAATATATATATAATGGTTGGTTGATATTTGTTTACTTCTCATTCTTCATTTATTGTTGGTGGTTGCAAATATTAACAAGTGCCATTAAATTATTGCTTTGCTTGGGAAAGTGGATTAGAATTTGGTAGAAGTAAATATCAATGACTCAAGGCTTTAAACCTTGTTTAATAGAATCGCTTAGGAATAAGTGGGTTTTATTTGGCATATATTGATGGTTCTAAATTGCAACTCTTTTATATTTGGGAAAATTATAAAGAGGAAATACTACTCAACTATTGGGAAATATTGGGTAGTCACTTAGACATCATTTGCATATCAAAAGAACCTTCCATTAGAAATATATCATATTAACACCGATAAGCATTACAATCCATTAAAGGGGACACAACCTTGGTTTCTTTAATCCAATTAATTACTCTATAAATATTCCAATTAGTTGATACTTCCAAACAAACTCAATTCATACTCTTGTTACTATAAAACCATTCTCTTATTACTGTTAACCGAATAGAGATACGACTTTAGTCGAGCAACACACTATAAGAGTAACCTTTTCACACCTATTCCCTGTGGGATTCGACCCCAACCTTGTTGGGTTATTATATTTGACACCGACCGCCTTACACTATTTATTAAAGTGTAATTTGAGCGTATCAAATTTTGGCACCGTTGCCGGGGAATACGGTTTTGAAATTACTATTTAATGTGTACTTTACTTAACGTCTATTTCTATTCCATCACACTTTGTTTGCTTTGCTTGGTGTTGATAGGAAAACATGTCTGAATATGGTGATGATGCGGAGACATAAATGGGAGAGAATCCTTTCGCAGACATTGAGGAGTACATTGAGGATACTAACGCCATTGTACCGCCAGCTGTTGGAGCTGCAACATTTAAAGTGGAACACGGTCTAATTCTGATGCTCAAGGCAGAAGGATTTTTCAGAAACTCCACAGATGATGATCCAACACAACACCTTAGGAATTTCTTGGGTGTGTGTGCAATGCAAAAAAAAAAACAATGTCTCCAACGATGCCCTGAGGTTGAGATGCTTCAAGTATTCTCTAGCTGGGGATGCGAGGAAATGGCTCCAGAATCTACCACTCAACTCTATCCATTCTTGGCCCAAACTTTTCTCGGCGTTTTTATCCAAGTGGTTCCCGCAGAGCAAAAAGTCTGAGTTGCGGGATAAGATTTTCTTCTTCAAGCAGACACAGGGAGAGCAGTTGCATGAGGCATGCGATTGCTTCAAATTATACTTGGTGAGGTCTCCAAACCATGGTTTTCCGGATTCCATGTTGTTGGAAAATTTTTATATGGGTTTGGATCCCATGAACCAAGCAATCGCCAAGAATGCAGCTGATGGATCATTCATGGATAAATCATTTGCAAGAGTGACACAAATCCTGGACAAAATGGCAAAGCACAACCAAGCATGGCATTTAGAGGATACTACCGGAGGAATCTCATATGGCTCTCCTTCCTTGAGCAACTTAATCAAGGAAAATCAAGAGAGGGATCAAGTGATTGCCGGGCTTGCAACAAATGTAAATGTGCTGACAAAGATGTTTACCCAGAATCAGACAAAGAAGTGAATGCAGTGGAAGATGTCCAACCCATCTTAGATGAAAATTTTGAGGAAGCAAATTATATCAACAACCCTCAAGGAGGGTATCAAAGGCAACCCTACCATGGTCAAGGGCAACAAAGCCAGTGGAGTCCAAACCCGCAAGGGCAAGGCAACCAACAATGGAGAAATGATCAAGGTAACTCGCATCAAGGAAATTGGAACAACAACAACAACTTTGCAAATCGGAGCTTCAACCCGTATGTTCCCCCAAAAGGTCATTATGCAAATCAAGGGTCGTCAAGTGAGTCAAGTTAGAAAGCATGCTTGAAAGAGTATTGGAAAACCAAGAAAAGTCTGACGCATCCATGAGAAACATGACCGAAGATGTTGGCTCTCACACCGCATCTATCCAAAAGTTAGAGATGCAGATGAGAGACCTTTCAAGAGAGCAAAACCCAAAGCAAAAGGGGAAACTTCCTAGTGATACCATTACGAACCCGAAGAGTGGTGGAAGTGGCTCAACTTCTCACGTCATGGCAATAACTACTAGAAGTGGGAAGGTTTTATAAGGTGACATTGAGCAATAGGTTGTTGGGGAAGAAGCCGAACAAGAAGTTGAAGCAGAAGAGCAAGGGTTGTTGAAGTTGAAAGGGTACCGGAAAAAGAGAAGGTGCAAGAAGAGAACCAAGAAGGGGTGAAGGAAAAGGAGAAGGAGACATTAAAAGCTCCACCTCCTATTCCTAGACCTCATCCGCCTTTTCCTCAAAGACTTATTAGAAGGGTTGATGATAGTAAGCTTGAGAAATTCTATGATATTCTAAAGCAATTGTCGGTGAACATTCCATTTTTGGAGGCTTTTCAAGAAATACCGGGGTTTGTCAAATATTTGAAGGATTTGATCACCAAAAATAGGACCACAAAGAATGAGGTGGTAAACATGACTCACTGGGTTAGCTCTATTATTGCCACAAGCCCTGTCCAAAAGAAAGAGGACCCGGGAGCATTTACTATTTCATGCACTATTGGGGAGCGTGACTTTGCAAAAGCCCTTTGTGACAATGGGGCTAGCATCAACTTGATGCCACTTGCCATCTACAAGCAAGCGGGATTAGGGATGCCGAGGCCAACAAGCATGAGGTTACAAATGGCCGATCGATCTATTAAGCGACCAGTAGGAATTGTTGATGATGTGATTGTGAAAGTTAGAAAATTCCATTTGCCCGCCGACTTTGTAATTCTTGACTGTTCTGTTGATAAAGAGATCCCTATCATCTTGGGGAGACCATTCCTAGACACGGGAAGAGCACTCATGGATTCGGAGCAAAATGAAATTAAGTTCCGGGTGAATGATGAAGAAGTCACATTTCAAGCGAGCAAGGGTATGAAATTACCCCATGAGTATGAGAGCATTTCAGTGATAGATGTGGTTGATGAGGTTGTAGATGCCGTTGAACTGAAAATGGAAGAACAATGCCTTGGTGAGGCATTGGCGGCTATCTTGGTAAACTTTGATGGTG